GGTTTGTGAAGTAATGCCAGTGAGCCATTAAGTGTGGAGATTCCTTATTGGTTGACTGCTGTATCTAGTTTATGTTAATTAGATAAGCTGTGTGGAATGTATATATATCACTCCTGTCCTACAATAAACGGTTCCCACTACTGCTGTATCAATCTACACAAGTTGTTCGTCATCCCCCAGTTATTTTGCTGCAGCCGGACTCCGGCACTTATTAACTCTATGAATGTTTTGTTACATGCTTTTAAAATACTAAATTACAGTAAATAGTATCATATGTAGCATTTACAAATTTGTTTTCATGTCTTAGTCATCATTCATAGTGCTTTTACACATTTTTATTTATTTCAGTCCTTACCTTGGGTTCTGCACAAGATTAGCGGTTTATTCACTTCTGAGTTAGAGCAGATAAATCCTAATTTTATTTTTAATCTCAGAAAGAAATGTTAGAATACCAACAAGATCTGTCAAAAGATTATACATTATTTCCAGGTCTTAGATTTGCACTGGCAAACCACAGTGATCATTAAATGTCAGCAACTAAATTTTTCGCACTAACACCAATAATAGTAGGTCTGAATTTGTCTTCCCTCCTTTGTCTGAAAGTGAAAGTTTTAAGTTAAGTTTGAGCAAGTAAGCTGGTAATTTTCCCTCAAGTTTTAATCCATTTACTTAGGAAACTCATGCAGTTATCCTGCTCATTTTTCAACTCCATAGGGCTAGGAGAACAGAGGTAAATTTTAATAATCACATTTAGTTAATGCCTTCCCCCACTAGACATGGTTGCAGAAATGAATGCCTTGGCACATAAATAGACTCTAAAGGAAGAGAATTCTCCTTCCCAAGTAGATTAAACAGAGACAGAAGAGAAACTGAAAACAGATGTGGGATTTACATTTGATATTCATCCTTCTCTAAAATTTTTTTACTCTGGCTAACACAAAGGTTCTGTACCTGAATAAAATAGTGACACATCCTTCTTTAAAAATAATCATTGTGCTGGGGATAAAGCTCAGTTGGTAGAATGTTTGCCCCGTATGAATAAGGCCCTGGGTTCAATCCCCAGAACCATTAATAATAATATTAATAATAATAATAATAATAATAGATTTGTTAATATTCTGTAGTCTACATAATAAGGAAAATTAATTGAAAACAATAGGTGGCTTATTCTCATTGAGTACTGGAGAAATGTTCCCTGAATTTTTTGATGATCCACCTACAACAACCATATGAGGCAAATACTTTTGTCAATTAGAGAATCTGAGATTCAGATGTGGTAAATAATTTGCTTGAGATCTCAAATCTTTTTTTTTAAAGAGAGAGTGAAAGAGGAGAGAGAGAGAGAAAGAGAGAGAGAGAGAGAGAGAGAGAGAGAATTTTTTTAATATTTATTATTTTTTAGTTCTTGGCGGACACGGACACAACATCTTTGTTGGTATGTGGTGCTGAGGATCTAACCGGGCAGCATGCATGCCAGGCGAGCGTGCTACCGCTTGAGCCACATCCCCAGCCCAAGAGATCTCAAATCTTTAGTTTGAGAGCCCAAGATATTAGGCACTGTGTGCTCTTCCCATTCACAGTGATGCCACTGATTTCTTTACTACTCCACTGGTATGCACTGTCCTCTGCTTGGTCTTTTCTCTTAATGAGAATGGTCAAGAGTGTGATATAAGGTCAAACTCCACAGCACCATCCACCTACTATGTACCCCATAATCCCCTAACATTTTCACAGGAGAAAATAAGAGAAAAATAAAGAGAGTACAAACTATTTTCCTTTCCTCTTAATTTCCAATGTTTCTGGGTCCTAGCAATCAGTCTACATATATTACTTTGTCTAGAAGCCTAAAAATAAATTTACAAGCAAAATTTGGAAAAACTACATAGGAGTCAGGACATCCTACCTGGGAATGGAAATCTTTTGCTCACCTTAATCTCCCTGGATGGTAGAAATTTCTAATGTAAGAAATGGTCTTGGGATAAAATTAAATTAATGGTGTGGCTATAATGTGCTTATGTTACTTAAAAATTTAAGGCATGAGTAGTGAGTATCTCAGTTTGGTAAAAAGATTTCTAAAAATCTTAAAAGCATGGTCTCAGAGAAAGTCTAATAAAAAAATAATAGTAAATATATATTTGGAAAGAGAAACATGGCCTTAAAATAACAGTATTCCTGTAACTCCCATGGCTCAGGAGGCTGAGGCAGGAGGATATCAAATTCAAAGCCAGCCTTAGCAATTCATCAAGCCACTAAACAACTTAGGAGACTCCGTCTCAAAATTAAAAAATAAATAAATAAAGACGGGGGCTGCGAATGTGGCTCAGTAGGTAAGTGATCCTGGGTTAAATTCCCAGGATAATAATAATAATAATAATAGAATAATTGTATGATTTTTGTCAAGCTAAGTACATTAAATCCAATTCATAGAAAGGCAAAAATGTGATTAAGAGTGTTGTACCAACAAAAGTACCTTTAAGATGAATTAAAACAGCCAGATATTGGTCAAATTATAAAAAGGCACTGCTGATTCTCCAGTTTTCTTCTAGCAGAATAAAGCACAAAGCAAACTGAAGAAGCTATTCAGCTTCTAACATCATTTTTTTTCTAATGTCAAAGGGAAAATACTTTCAGCCAAGAACACAGAGTACAGAACTACAGGCCACTGAATATCTACAGACTATTGTCAGCAAAAGGGAATCCCTTCTATTAGATATGAAAGCACAGTAGGCTGGAGAGCAGCTTTCAAAGAATAGTACTATGCCCTAGTCACGGAATGTTCCCTTTGTCCGAAGTAGGAAAAATTGACAACAATTCTCCCTGTGAGATTTCAGAATTTATGGACCAGAGACACTTATGTGCCTCTGGTTCTTCCAGTTTGGGATTAGAATTATCTATTGTGATCAACCTATACCTGTATCACCATTTTGTGTTAATATATCTGTTGTAACTCCAGGTTCTGGAGTAAGAAAGTCACATTGAAGCCATATCTAGATGTAATGCAAGTCATAAAGCCATAGATTTTAGCATTGATGCTATAATTAGAGAAGAGTTTCAGCATCCTGGGATAAAAGTTAAAGATGGCTGGAAGAAATAAAAATACTTATGATAGGATATTTGTAAAAGAATACAAAAACAACCGCCCACATTTTTTTTTCCTGTCTTTGAACCCATACCTCTATGATATAATTTTGCAGATCCATGAAGAAGCAGAAAGCTGTTTCTCAATTCTGGATTAGCAAACATGTGCCAAGCAAAGTCCTAAGCAATGTTTGTATATTGGGGGGCTTCCTCTCTTGCTGCTTTTTAAAACCTGCAACTATTAGAATGCAAAAGAGCCCACGGCACTACCTTAACAGCCCTGCCAATGGTCAGAGTGTGACGCCTGTCTCACAAAAGCTGCTATCTTATTTATTGTCCAGCATTTTCTTCCTGTGAGTAAGTTTCCCTACAAAGATCAGCAGTTCTATCTTGCTCTTTTCATGCCTTGACTCTTATAGTGGCGGGCAGGCACCCCACACAGGCAGGAAAAGCAACCATGATTTGGCATTGACTATGACACAACAATTTACTAAGAATCACAATTTCCTAAAGAGAGAAACCACAGCCCTCGTCAACCTCTAATTTTTATGTGTAATAAGGATAATATTTTGGCACCTTTATACCTTATTCCTTTGTCTTATTTCTCAGTTTGGTCAGAACCTGTAAGGGGAAAAACTGATATTATTCATTTGGCCCCTCATAGATTACCCAGCAATGAAGATGATTCTGCATTTCCCTCTTCTATACGTACCATCAATTTTTAAACACTTATCTACATCCCTTAAAGGACCAATGAAGATGCTGATGATTCATACATGTCCAACACTTATATATATTTAACTATACAGTAACATTCATTACTGCACAATGTTAGAAGTCAAAACAGGATTTCTCCCATGCATATGGCTCTTAGGGCTTTTAGATGTCCCTTCATAGGAATAGACACAAAGGAAACCTGGAATTCTGATTCTGGAAAGATGAGAACCTTTTCTCCAATACTTTTATCTAATCATTCTGAGGAATCATCAAGTTGCTTGTTTTTATTGCTTCCTATCCATCACATTAATCCTATTCAGCCCTGCTATCACCTTTGCCCTTTGCCCATAGTGACAAGTACCATGCAGTCACTTCTCCACTGCTAGAATACAGTGTGAAGTCTGGAGTTACGATCTTCAACAAATCACAAGACAAATAAAGATGAGAAAGACAGGTAAGGAAAACAAATATGTTCCATCATTGGCATTATAGGTGGATGGAAGATAGAAAATAGATGCATCAATTAGAAGTAGTTACTTGTCTGTCTTGGTTAGTGAAGATTCTGAACACCCACAGCAAGAGGAACAGAGAAACTTTTCTGGATGAAAGAAAAAAAAATATCATTCTGATGGTTTGGGCTAGACCCGTCTCACCTTGATTAGTAGTCCCACAAGTGTGTTCTTAGAATTGACACCTAATTGTGTTTCCATATATGTGGCAAGTATTCAGCAAAAAGACAAAGGAACACACTAGTAATATTCAATGATAATATTTATCATAGCCTTGTTACTATTTCTTATACTTGCTAGGAGTTAGTTATACTCCATGGAAGTAAACAAGAAGGGGTCTGGGATATTGCCCATATACTTATCTTTTAGGACACACCTAATGGAACCCCAAGCTAAAGAGTCCACTGGTTTACATGCAGACAATTCTCAGGTAATTGCAGAGGCACTGAGTGCTCAGAGCCTTTGTCCAGCTGGCCTCTTGCTTTGCTGGCACTCCTGGCTGACTGGCTGGCTTTGCTGATAGTGCAAGTCAAGGGATTATTAGATTGACCACATGCCCTCCGCTTTTGTGTCTTTGTTTTTGTTTTCTTTTAGGACACAGATAGGAAAGTTGACTGGGGCCCCAGAGATCTATGAAAAAAAAAAAGATAGAAAAGGAGGAGGGGAGAGAAATTTGCAATGATAACTGTTTTCTGCTCTAAGAGTCATGAGAGAATATAGGAGTTTGATTCTGGCAGAAGCGAACCAGCAACGTGGGTCAAGAATTAACCCGCAGGGATGCCAGGATAGCATCTCCTGAGACATGTCTCTAAATTACATCAAAAACTTCTATGAAGGATGTGTAAGTATCATACCAAAAAATAATCAATTTTTATGATATTTGTCTGTGTTTATTGACCTGATTTGCATGAGTGGTGATAGGTAAGTTCCTCTATGTTTATGGTGAATAATATAAATAACAACCTTATACTTCAAAATATTCTGAAGTTAAGTCTATAAATAGAAGAATTCAGTATGTACCTTTAGATGTTGATGTCTTAAAGTGATTCACTCTTTCAATTCCATAATTAAGAAGTCAAAAAACTTGTAGTGACAACTAAATAAACAATATTTAAGATAGTGTTTAATATTCAATCTGTCATCTAATTTTCCAAAGAGATTAGAGGGGAAGAGGATATTAATTGAACTCAAAGCTGCTTAAAATATTTTTAAAAATTACACATTTCATTGACAATATGTCCCTATTTGACTGTTGCATTTCATATTTTGAGGGTGAAAAGGCATGAGAAATCTCATAATAGAGGCATTGTATTTGTCTGATGATTGCTACAAATCTATCTTGTTTCAAAACTTCTTGAACCTGAAGTTTTAAAAATGTGATCATGAGAACATCCTTTAGAATATTCCTTTATTAATGTTTATTTTCAATGACTTTTTTCCTCCTGAAACTATAAAAGGTTAAACCTCCGACTGTGATTGGTCAATTCCACACACTTTTCTTTGGATCTGTCCGAATGTTCTTCCTGGGAGTGTTAGGTTTTGCAGTTTATGGGAACGAGGCTCTGCACTTCAGCTGTGATCCAGACAAAAGAGACATAAACCTTTTCTGCTACAATCAATTCAGGCCGATCACTCCACAAGTAAGTTTTTCTGTGAGCACATTAACGTTGACTCCACAACACACAATTTTTTTTTAAAGTAAAATAATATTATTAAAAGGAGTACTTCAACAGGCATGGTTTCCAGAATTAATATTACTTTTTCTCTCATTAGCTGTGTATTCAGAAATTCTATTATCTATTGATACTAAAATTATACTCCAGATTTGTATTTAGAATATAGAAATTAAGTAGCTACTAAAATTAAGTAATTCATTGTTGACAGGTAAAATATCATCATATTTTAACAATTACTGTGTTTAAGGTTTTAAATGTCCTAGTAATTAAATATGATATGTCAAACATTGCTGTGCTTATGATCTTCTATTTACTGTTTGTAAGATTTCTATGAAACTTAGAATTTTTAATTTAGCTTCTGTCAAGAATCGGCATTTTTTAGGGTATTTTTGGTTATATATTGATCCATTGATTTGACTAAGATATTTCTGACATACATTAGGTATTCTGGGCATTACAACTAGTGATTGTCCTGGTTCCTGGAGCTATTTTCCATCTTTATGCTGCATGTAAAAGCATCAATCAAGAATGTATTCTTCAAAAGCCCATCTACACTGTGATCTACATCTTCTCAGTTTTATTAAGAATTACTCTAGAGGTGATAGCATTTTGGCTTCAGATTCGCCTCTTTGGTTTCCAAGTAAAACCACTTTACTTGTGTGATGCTGCATCTCTTGGGAAAAAAATGACTATTATAAAATGCATGGTTCCAGAACATGTTGAAAAGACCATTTTTCTCATTGCAATGTATACATTTACTGTAATCACAGTGGTATTATGTGTCGCTGAGGTTTTTGAGATTGTATTTAGAAGATTATGTTTTCTAATTAGGCAATGACAAGGGTTAATCATGCCATAGTTATGTATCATTTTTATTTAGTTTCATCTTATTCAGTGAGTACCTCAATTTCAAATATAAATATATGTTCTTAAAATTTACTTTGGTGTGTCTGAAATTTATGTCTACTATAAAGTATAATACTAAGTTCTAAGATAGAGATTGTTGAACAAATGTTTCATTCTATTTTAATTTTAGCATCTATTTTATTATAAAATATATAGAAAACTAAGGTCAACTCATCAACATTAGTTAATTATCTCTTCCCTCACAAACAACATCTTAGTTGATCAGATCATTTTGTGGCTAAACTTTCATTATCTTTTAGCATACTGAAAATTAATGTTTAGAAATGGTAATTTAGGTGTTCAAAGTCATAGAAACTAGAATCCAGATCTTCCTATTTCCCTTTCCTCTGAATCATGCAGTTTTAACTTTGAGGATGTAACTATTTTTGCATTCATATAAAATATAACTTACTGAAACACAAAAGTTATAATTATTGAAGGAGTAATTCCATAGTTTGATCACTAACTTGAAGAAATGGAGCAATTACATTTTTTAATACTTATATTGTTTTCTTGAAATTTTTAATATTAAATGATTTGGAAATATAACCACCAAATAAATTTAAAATTTTATGAATATTATTGTGCATGGTTTCCTCTTTTCTTGTTGTTCCCGGAAGTATCAAGTAAAAATAACCTTTACTTGATTGAAATAAAAATTATGTTTACATTAAGTTAGACTTCCTCCATAGCTATAAAACTATTTAAAATAATTTCATATTGATTTATGCCTTTCTGTCTGCCTGTCTTACCAATAGTCATCTTCATTTTATATCATTTAAAATCCTTATGTAATATTGCCTTACATTGTTTTCTTATTAGAGAAATAGCCATATCAACCAAATACTGAGGATTTTAGTATTTTATTAAGCATTATTGAGCCTATGTTTACTATTATGAATTTCTGGGTTTAATTTTTTTACATCATTAAGCTTTCTCTATATGAAAGCATATATAACTTTCCTTCATTCAATAAGTAGCTACTGAATAGCTAGTTTTAACATGTACTGCATTGGGAATTCATTTAAAAAGATAGTTGAAATTTAGTATCTATATGAGAACACATTCTAATGAGCAGTCTAGTACCAAGCCAAGATAGTGAGGACTGGAATAATAACTTACCATAAAGAAAAATAATATTTATTTATTGTCTTTGTTTAAGATATCTGATCTTTGGTATCAATAAACCAAAATATTAAATTATTATTATTATTATTATTATTATATTTAAATTATCTAAGATAACGTACCCCTTTATTGCTTATATCCAAATTGAACTGTTCCCACCAATCTGCCCACAAAGATACACATATTATTATGAGTCATATTTTCTTTCCCACAACTTGGCAAGGCTGCTAATCGTCAATTGGATGTCAGTCATAGTGTCTTCTACCTTGTTGGATGCTAAATAGTTTTCTATTGAGAGATATTCCTAATGTTTCTTCTGGAACATAGTTACGTTACTTGAAAATGGTAGTTGCCTCTGCTTCCTTTTAAATTTTGCTAGATGGGACCAGTATAGTCCTTACTTTGCCCAGTGACAAAGGCAAAAACCTTTCTGAGTGCCCTATGAGGTGTCCTTTCAATGGTTAGGAAATGTTTTCCTTCCACTACTTAAAATCCTAAGTAGCATCCTCACACTGGTTGACCCATGGCTGCCAAATAAACTGTTGCATTTGCAGGGACAGGTCCTCATTGTGCCCAAGGAAAGAATGAATGCACAACGGGGAAAAGGACTTCTTCCTGGTTTGCCTCTCATTATTATCCTTCGGGAAGATCATGTTTTTAAAAAAAAAAAAAGGCACAGCCGATTTTCTCTTAATGTATGCTCATTCATACACAAATATTTTGATTTTTTTTTATTTAATTCATCCTTTAAAGTTGGGCATTGTCAAAGTTGCCCCTTCAATAAGAGATTTTTCCACTCTCACTGTTGGGAACAGCAACGATTTTCAGTCCTATGTACATCTCAGGTATTGTTCCTTTGAATCCTTTTAAGCAGTGCTTGCCCGAAAATTATGTTTGAAGATGTTACTCTACCCAAAACTCAGCTGAAGACCTTTGCAGATCTCAGGTGTCTTGCTTTGTGGCTTCACCTCTAACTACAACAGTGTGGCCTTTGAATTCCATCCTCTGTGGCCTTCTTGGACTGTTTCTCCTCTACTGACAATGTAGACAGATGGATTTATGAGCCCCCAAAGGAACCTTGCTTATCTCTACGTCTTTTAAGAAAACAGCACTGCAAAAGTTGGAACATGTCTCCAAAAGTTCATGTGGTAGATACTTATTCCTTAATGCAACAGTGTTGAAAAGAGAGATCTTTATTAGGTCATGAGGGCCTGGCTCACATGAATGGATCCATGTTGTTATCAGGGAGAGGGCTTGTTATTAGAAGAGTGAATTTGTTATTTAAGCAAGTTTGGTCTTTTGCTCTCTCACCATGTGATTGACTCCTTTTGCCATAAAGGTCATCTCCTGATGCCAGATCTCTGTTCTTGGAATTCTCAACCTGCAGAATTCCAAGAAATAAATTTCTTTTCTTTATGAATTACCCAGTCTGTGATATTTTATTATAGTAAGAAAAAAAAATGAAACAAGACAAATATAAATTGTCATGTTTAAAGATAGAGATTAGGTGAGAATTTGGACAATCTTTTTAATTTCTTACTGAACCACTGTTCTATTATTTCATTTTGTAGTACCTACATCAGGATTGTTAGCAAACAGTATATCGTCCTGGATAATAAATGTTATATGTAAAAAAAATTGAGATTTAAATATAAAAATTCATTTTCTGACCAAAATGAAAATATAGTAAACCTAAAAAGAACAGTTTCACTAAAATAAAACAAATTGGCTGGTGTGGTGGCTCATGCCTATAATCCAAGATGCTAGGGAAGCTGAGACAGGAGGATAGTGAGTTCAAAACTAGACTCAGCAAAGGCGAAGCACTAAGCAACTCATTAAGAACCTATCTCTAAATAAAATACAAAACAGGGCTGGTAATGTGGCTCAACCTGAGTTCAAATTCCAGTACAAAAAAAAAAAACTAAGCTAAACAAATTATATCTATTCGAAAAGATATTTTAAACTATTTATATAAAAAGCTCTTGAACCAAATAAATAATTTAAACTAAAGTTTTTCAGACTATTTATATATGAACAATAGGCAGAATATTACATATAAAAATGCATGAGCTATAACTAAATTTGTAGTGCTCAGAAAATGGACAGCAGAAAATAAGTCAATAATGAACACAGAAACAATAAAGGTAATTCAAAAACAAACTTAAGAACTTCCAAATAAAAATAAGAACAAAGATAGTTTTTAAATGATGTAGGCAGATAATTATAAATTATAAAATAAATGATATAGAATAAATAAATTCAAAATGGCTGTGGAAAATAACAATAAAATAGATAAGCCGCTGACAAATCAATTTAAGTATAGAAGTATACTACTATAATATTCATAAATATATATGTAAGTTATATATTGTCATTGGCAGATATTGTGATGATTTTAAAGATATATTATATATGATATAAAATATAATACAACCAACAAATCAAATCAACAAAATTTTGGTTAACAAGCCAACAAAGAAAATTAAATAGAAATTAAGTAGAATCATACAACATTAATCATAAAACACTCACTTAATATCACTTAATCTCAAAGTGAATTCCGACAATTTTGTTTGTATTATCATTTCATTTTCACTTGCAAAAAAAGAAAAAAATAAGAAATAGAAAACAACAAGAAGTTAGTAGACTTAAACCCAAACACATCAACAGCTACAATAAATATAAAAGATTTTGAAATTCTATATAAAAACAGAGATTAACTATCTTAATGTATTTTTTTAAATTGAGACAAAATTATTAACAGGAACCCCATTTTAAACATTTTAAAATATTTAATATTCAAAACATTTAAATATAGATGGTAAAAAAAAAGTTATATCATGAAACACTAAACATCAGAGAGCTCAATTGGCTATATTAATAAGAAAAAACCCAAGCAAATTTCAGGGCAAGAAATAATAACAGGAATTTAAAAAACATTTCATATATATATATATATATATATATATATATATATGAAGCAAAGATAGATTAAAAAGAGAAATGAATCTAATTGCAGTTTAAGATTTCAATATTTCTCAGTATTCAGTTAAATAGTAAACAAACATCATAAAGATAAAGCAAAATTAAACATTACTAATAACCAACTTGAACCTATTGATTCTTATACACAACTCCTTACAATGCCAGAAGAATATATATTCTCTTCAAGTGTTATGCAAAACATTCACAGAGAGATCACTGCTTGGCCATGAGATGTCATAAGGTTGGAAATCATACAGAATACGTTTATTGATAGCAATGGAATTAAACTAGAAATCAACAAAAATAACAAGAATATACCCAAATGTTTGAAAAAGTAATGATGCACTTTTATTAATGCATGGATCAAAGAATAAATTACAATGGAAATTAAAAAGAAAATGATAATACAAACACAATTTATTAAAAGAAAAATTGTAGAAAGCATTAAAACTGTGTTTAGCAGAATACTGAAAGTTTGTTCTAAATATTATATTTGAAAAAAATTATAAAATAGTTTAAGCATCTCATATTATGAAATTAGAAATATGATAATTTAAATATAAATTAAATAGAAGAATGGGGGAAAAGCATATAAAACATAGAGATAGAAACTGAAAGATAATAAAGAAAATTCATTAAACAAAAAGCTGGTTCATTGAAATCTTCATAAAACTAATAGATTTTAAAGTAGACCATTATAGATAATACAGGATATATAAAAAATTATCCATACAATGAAGGGAAAAAAGGGATTTCATGATAGGACATTAAAATGATTACAAGGACTCTTGAATAATGTATAACAATAAGTTTGGTACTTGGATAAGATGGAAAAATTCCTTGAAACACATTTTCCTAAAAGCTGATTCAACAGAAAACAATTAGTATAAATAGAAGAAACATCCCTGAATCTATTAAAGAAATCAATTTTAAATCCAAACCCTTTTCAAGAAGAAAACTGCAGGTTCACATGAACTTGCTTGTAATTCTATCAAATGTATAGAAAGAAATCATACTCCAAGATCTCTTTTGGAAATAAAGAAGGAATATTTCCCATTTTATTTAATGAAACCAGCATATCTTTGATTTAAAAAAATCTTAGCAAAAGTGTATTAACAAATGTAATCCCTCTATGTATGTGCAGATAATACATTGTGTTCTAGTGCAGTTTAATGCCAGGAATGAGAGTTTAACACTGTAAATCAATTAATGTAATTGAACTGTATTAAATGAATGAAGAAGTCCACAGATATCTTAATAGATACATATAAAGGCATTTGATTAAATTTAACACCCACTTATGAGGAAACAAATGATTCAAGCTTTTCATTCTAAAAAAGAATTACCTAAACTTAATAAAAGCATCTTAGGAAATC